TCATTTTCGTTTAGGAAAAAAATAATATTATTCCTACGTTAACAATTTACCAAGAATATTTAAAACATCATTTAACACAATTATTATATATTTAAAATCATATGTCTTATATGAAAAACAAAAATAATTTCTTACATAAAAACACATTTGTGTGTGATGATCGATAAAAAATATTCTTATTCAAGTAAAAAAAAGGAAAAAAAATAATCGTGCGATGGCCGGGAATCGAACCCGGATCAACTGCTTGGAAGGCAACTATGCTGACCATTACACCACCATCGCACTTGGTATTCTAGCATTCAGTTAACGTAATCAAGCCCAATTATTTATAGATGTTCTACCTCTGTTTGTATTATATTATTCACACTAATCCAATTATTTATTATTTTATTAAAACTATTTACGATCCCATCGCGAATTTTATCCACAATTATTTCCAGCTATTCGAACAAATTGCGTTCACGTTTCAACGACTACGAAATAATCTTTTCGTAATAATAATAATAAAAATACTAATAATAATAGTAATAATAATAATAATAATAATAAATATGAATCATTTAGCGAGAAAGCGTCACTTTTCATGGAAAGCAAGACGACTGGAGTATTTTATTTTTTCTTTAATAGAAAGCGTTTTCTACGTATTTACTTCGTTATTAACATAATTGTTGACATAAGCAATCCTTCATTATGACTATCATAAAATAGTTTGAAAGTCGACTAGATAGACAAAGAATTTTCTATAACTATTAAACTGATATTTTTTTGTCTTTTAAACCTACTTACAATGGATTAGAATTGTATATCTCACATCAGTGAATGAGAAACTTGAGAAAGAAGGAAAGAAAGAAAGATAGAAAGATGGAGGATCAGATTAGAAAGAAACGGAGAATAATGTAGCAGTATAAAGCAGTGATTCACAACCTTTGTTGGGAATACCCTATACCTGAGCATCTCAAAAATCTTGATGGCCCTTCACCCCTGTGTGATACATAATACTTATTATTAAAAAAGTGAACTATTAATCACCTAGAGGAATTCTAAAAGATCATTAGCTTGGTTCAAACAAGCTTCCAAACAAGAAGGCCGTCCATGAAACAGAGACAAATGATAGAACAAAAGTTCAAAGCAAAAAAATTTACCGTTAATAAGTCATTCTCGAATTAACCTCATTAAAAAATCAAGTTGTTCTTTTTATGGAGCATATAGCTCGTGTTGGAAACCACGAGTTTAAAGGATAATAATGAAGAGAAAAAGAGAGAGAAAGAGAGAGAGAGAGATAATATTATTGTCGAGTGAACGCGAGAGAAAAAGTTAAGTTTTTTTAATTCTTTAATAATAACTGAAGAAAGACCAGTGTTGTTCTCAGCGAATAACATGATGTTGAAGAAAATAGGTCGAGTCCGACACGCAAGTGAATTTAACTTGCATGAAGACGTTGGAATACTGCACCTAATGTTCTCAGTTTCTTTCAGTTTCTCCCTTTGTCTTTCTTTTTCTCTCTTTTCGAACAGTGAGCTACAAAGTCCATTAGACTCGAGGCCATTGTCGCTTTTACTGGCCGGAAGTCTGTATTGCCATGAGGTGGAGACTTCCGGCAGCAAGCAAGACGACAAGTTTCAGCCTTGGCTAAGCGGTACCTTTTGTTCTTTTTACTTCGAGTGGAATGAATGTTGCTCTTGCAAAAAGACGTTCTTTGAAAATTATGAATTTTTTGCTCCTTTTCTTTTTTTCTTCTTACATAAATAGATTAGAATTTTTTCAACACGCCTAAGCTTTACAAAATAAAACAAAAAAGAAATACATAATTTATGATAACTTTCAAGTCATCATAAATGCACATATATTGATTTGAAAAAAATAAGCCACTTGTGAGATTAACATTAAAATTATTAAAATTATTCAAAATGATTGATTGAAGTTAAATGAGTTTTTTTGTTCTTTTCGTTTTTTCATTATTTTTTTTCTTTTGGGATAAAAATATTAATATTCAGTTGTTACGAAAGTAATTTCAGATTTTTTTTTCCCCACTGATGAATAAAAGATGAATAAAAGATCTTTACAGTAGTAAGCAAGCAAAATATAACAAAAATGCTAACTTCAATTTACTTTCATTTTTTTTATTTTTGATGCCGTGGCAGATAAAAACGCAACGAGATTTTAAATCGCGTCTGGAAATGTCTGTTGCTAGAATGTAAAATGATTTAGAGGTTTGGAACAAGTTTGGATTTCGATTAACGAAACATTTCTGTGTGTTGCGTCGTAAATTAGGCAAAAAATATATTGCAAAAATTATTCCAGAGAACTCATCACCTTAGCTATCTGACTCATTTATTTTTATATATATTATATATATATATATATTCTAAAACTAATCGTAAGATTATAGCAGAGAGATAGAAGATTCTTTTTTATTACTAACAATAAACTCGCGTTAGGGTAGCAAGTTCCATTGTTAAGTGTCATAAAACCTGAGTATCGTAAAAACCGTCACCTGCGTCTATTTAGGAATAACTGATTCTACGCTATTATCTTGAGTTCATAAGAAAAATCAGAAGGAGTTTATGAATATTGAAGGATTATTGAAGGACAGGCTAGCTAAAAGAATTGAAGAACAAAGCAGCGTATTAAAAAAGACTGAAAAAGTAACAGTTAACCTCGTAATAAAAATCAAGCACCACTTTTATCATTTGTTGTAACGGAATAACAGAATAACCGAATATACCATACGTAAATTAACAGTGATTGAAATTGTGTCTGAAAAAGCCCGTGCACATGCTTACGTGTACAGTAGAAAAAGTGAAATTCGTTTAACGATCGTGTACGAACAACAGTGCGTGAAATGAAATTACTCTTTTAGAGAGATCAAATCATTTTTCTCAACAATATTTTCTTTACTTTAAATCGACATTGAGTTAAAATCAAATAAATACTAATAAAGCTTTGCTTTTTCCTTACATATCTTATTTTATCAATAACCAATAATTCTGAATGTTCTTGTAAAAATAGTTATGCAATAATCGTTGCGGTAGAGTGCTAATATTAAATTAAAAAATAGAAAGAAAAAGAAAAATTTGGTTAATTAAGTATTATACAGAATAAAAAAATGCATTAATTAGATGGCCTATCAAAGATCAAAGTTGATGTTCCTTTTATCAATCAAAGTTACAGTTACGATCTCACACTGGGTAAGAGAGTTGGTTGTGGTAGTGAGCTGGTTGAGTTAGAAAGTGGACGTCGTACGTTTACGTATATATACAAACACACGAATTTACGTATACAGGATACTCACACATGTATATCACATGTATATACGTAGTAAGACTGGCTGCACCGTATCGCCTCTCGTCAGTAAAGTCTCGGCTCTCGAGGATAGCGGATGAATGTGCCAAGACTTCGTATTCTTGTATTTGTATCTTTTTTTTGTTGTTGTTCAAACTTAACGGAAAGTGAAATGAAATTAATTCAATGTAATCGTTTACTTTAACCAGATGTTACATTTCACGTATGATAAATTTCGTTTGTACGATATCGATAAAAATTTTTTTCGCGTGTCACGTGTTGTAAGTGAACACAAATTCATATCTTCTATGCTATTAAATTCGATGGAAGAGTTTGGAATTTTTTTTGAAGAAAAATATAACAAGAAATGAAGAGTTTCTCGATCCAACGCGCTAAAATAATTGATAATTCGTTATAATATCATTGATTTCTAAACTCGAATCGATTTATTCTTCGATCTTGACTCTCGAGTGTTAATGACAGATCCCTCGATCACTACTCGAGGTCAACGTTATTTTTCTTTTGGCACTAGTCTAAAGTACAACTATTTCGATCGTCTATTACAGAGTGTGTTGTACGATCGAGAATAAAACTATCCCTTTTGACGTCATTTACTATCACTATTTTTTCTTTTTCCTTTTAATCGTTCAAGTTAAGAGTATTACAAGAATCTAGAACGTCTGAACTATTTAATTCCATTATTTTGTTCGTTACACATTTGTAAAGTACACGTAGATTGATTTTATAGAACGTTAGGGTTCGTTGTTCTTTTTTTTTTTCATTCGAACGCAATTAATCTTACAATACATCCGGCATCGAGTTGCCATAATGTTGAAAATAGAATTTCTTAATCATTACGTAATCCTATTTCTTTCATCCTTGATTATAACGCGAATTATAGAACAAAAAGAAAAAAATTAATAAAAAAGGAAAGAGTAAAAGAAAAAACCTGGTATATCGTGAAATAAAAAGGATATATACGAAGGAGTGTTTTTATTTCATTTGTAAATAATTTCAACGTTATACTTTTATCTACAACGATAAACGTAAATTCGCCGAGCAAGCGGAATTATTAAAAGCTTTTGGGATCGATCGACCGCGAACCGTGAGGGAAGAAGAAAAACGACTAACATAAGAAAGACAGAGAAAGAAGAAAAAAAAATAAAAAAGAGAAGTAGAACGTTGGTAACAGAACTCTCGTTGAAAGCGAAACCCTTCGACGATAGTGATAAAGAGTACGCGTAGATGCATAAATACATATGCATATGGGAACCCAAAGAAAAAGAGATAGAGACGGATAAAAAGAAAGAGAAAAAAAACGTGTTACATCTATTTGATTCGATTTTGAAGTCGATTATTCATTATCGATAGAGAGTAAACGTGGTTCGGGTTAACTTCGTGGAGTGAAATTTTCCCGAGTGTGAAAGAAGTGGGTCGAGCGCATGTGCGCAAGCAACGAACGAACTCACATACACACGAACATATATATCACACATAACACTCTCTGTAAAACGATATGAAAATAGACGCACTTGAGTAACTACTTTAGGATACGTATATGTATGCACATACATATTTACTTACGTACAATGCAATAATCCGATTCGAGTTTTTATGTTTTCAAGGATATTTTCTAAAATTCTGAAAGAATATAATATGAAATTCTAATATTCAAAAGGAAAGGAATTATTATTTGTAGTATTCGATTAATTAATATTTATAAAACAATAGTCTCTGAAACGTTGTATCCATTCAACGAGTTCAAAGTATTTTGTTGTTTTCAAAGTAATTTCGTTCGTCGGATAGTAAATTGTTGTTCTAATCACTTGAACTTTTCATTTCGATGGCAAAGAAGAACTATTTGACGCATTGAAACGCGCAACAAAATTCTAAATGACGTCCGAAGTGTCTGTTGTTAGAATGTTAAATGATTTTGAGATTTAGAGTAAGAATTGTTATCGGTAAACGCGATTAACAACCCAAACAATTTCATAATCTTTGAAACTGGCGCAATTAAGTTGCATGATTTTTGAACAGCTGATCGGTGAAACAACGTAGATGCGATACCTGTTCAAGAAGAGGAATTTGCGGGATTTTTTAAAATTTCGTTTAGACATCAACCTTTTCTACAAAGTTTTTTTTATCGTTCAAGAAATTTGATTTCAAGATTTGTCCCAATCGACTGTCAGAAAAATTGTGATATTTTCTATATTCGTGAGATTTGTACAATGGAAGAAGGAAGAAAGTTTTGGAAGACGACCGATGATTTGTTATTTTCAAGGATATCATTAATGAGCTAGGTGTTGGATTAAAATCAAACGGCGACGTAAATGGATAATGGAAATGGTGAAAGAAAAGCCACGAAGACGGAGTGTGAGCGAATTGCTCGATTGGAGATCCATGATTGGATTGAAAGGTGGAGCTGTTAATTCCGAGAACAATGATACCGATGGCATTTATTTTGATGATTATGATCAAAGTCCGGAAACTAGGCGAAGAAAACGTTCCGGCACTTGGCCGTGAGTAAAAACTATAAAAACTTTGAAATATAGTTAATTCTTTCTTTATTTAATCGTATATCCTAGCGATTTTCAGTATTATTTAAATAAATATTATAAACATTTTAATATTTTTTGTGGAATCAAAGTTCATTTTCAGCTAATATCGAAAGCAAATAGTATCGTGGTCAACAAATCCGGTATGGTCTAGTGGCTAGGATACCTGGCTTTCACCCAGGAGGCTCGGGTTCGATTCCCGGTACCGGAATATTCTTTTTGTTTTATTTTTTTTTTTTAAAATATTTTACAACATTAAAAAGAAATATTACTCTCTTGCATCGAAAAACACGAATAATTGTTATTTAATAATGTCTTTATTATTATAAAATAGAATAAAATATGTGTTTGTTGTCCGTTCTCGTATCGAAAGTAATTGTATAGAAAAAAGGAGCAATGCTATATGTATTTAATATTCATAACAAGGCACTGTATTCATTCTATTTCGTAATTAACCAGAAGAAACGTAATCCGATTTCAATTCGCGATCGAAACAGGAGACAGGACGCGTTAACTTGATCGTTACACTCTCTCATTCGGTTATTAATCGAAAGTAACGACAATAAAAATGATGATACTTGCAAAAAAACAACTTTAAACGAACGAAATTATTACTCAATCGTTATATTTTAACTATTACTTAACAATTTTTGTATAAAATACGCGAGAAAGAATTTTTTAATTAGCACAAATTGTATGTATTAAAAATTTACATATCAATATAATTCACGTGTAATAAAAATAAAAAAAGATGATAGTTTAATTTAAATTAATACTCATAACGAACCAATTTAATTTTATATATATATAATTTCTGTAAAAAAAGAATATTCATTTTATTAAATTTCATTTGAGGATCGTAAACTTTCTCGAAGTGAAATGACTCGAAATCATAAGTAAAATATAAAGAAAGAAAGGGAGGAAAAGGGGGGTAAGGTTTCGAAAGGAGCAATTGATTGGTCGTGCAAGGTTTACGACGCATGCGTTGTATCGATAGCGCAACTCGAACGACGCTCAGGCGTCGTGACGCCGGTTGTCGTCATCTTGCTTGGTTAGTGTCAAAACGAGGAACCCACCCAGTCGGTGTTCTTTCCAGTTCCTCCCTACGGGTACGTGCCTTAATCCTCTTCGATCGTCATCAGCTCGTCTGTTGTGTCTTCCGTTCTTCTCTACTTAACATTTTCTTACAAAGTCTTCCTGGTTATATTAGTTGTACATAAAATATGGACGAGGCCGAGCTGAGGTACGAACCCGGACACTCTCTCTTTCTCTTTCTCAACACACAAACATACACACATATACATATACACGCTCTATCTCTTTTTACCTTTATCTCGAGCGTTGCCAAACTTGACACCCGATACGCTTAGCCTACATTTTACATCGACTAATTTTTTACACAAAATAATATTCTAGTCAATCAAATAAATTAATTTTCTTGAAATTATTCAACTTTTGTGTGTGTCGATTAAATATAAGTGTACGTTTAAAACGAAATATTTAGAACTTTTTGCGTTCTAATAATACAAATTAATGTTAAATAATAATTATATTCTATATACGGAGATTCATATATATATAATTGAAGATAAAAATAAAGATCGTTTGGCAAATATTAAATAATAATAATAACTCGCTTAAGAGTGTCTTATGTTAGCATAATGGTGTTTCATCGGGATCTTAAAAAAGAGAACAGCTGGTGATGCTGTACGTAAGACGAATGGGGAGTGCAAGGCGGCGGGCAGGGGGGCAAAAGGATGCAGAGGTTTCTTTCTTCGGCCAATATAAGGGGGAGGGGGGGGGAATGCGTATTTTAGTTTGTTTGCTCGTTTTATTGGAGCGAGAAGCGAGAACGCGTTCACCTTTCGCCGCGTTCAGTTGCTACGGAATGTACGTGTTTGCTTCGGATTTTACTCGATGCCCTCGAACGAACGAACGAACGTACAGACCAATGGTGCCGATGCGACGGTCCATGAAAAGAGAAACAACTTCTCCTTTGAGCATCGTTGTTATAGGTGGTGCCTGGTTTAAGAGAGCTCTGAAGAATTTCAAGAATTCGCAGGATGCAATCGATTACCAAACCGGACCCCAAACTTTTTGCGTTTCTCCTTTTCGAGTTCGTTCGAGTTAATTCGTCCAATGTTGTTCCTCTCTGTTGGAACCTTTGGAATCTTTCAAAACGATTCGACCTAATTTTCTCTTATTTTTTTTACTTTATTACCTTTTTTGCCTATTAAAAAAACTATCGATATATTTTACTATCATTATTTTATTAGTTTACTCTTTTGGTGTAAAGAAAAATAAAACATAGAATTTTTATTTATACATTTTTTAACATTTAGTTTACAATAATAATAATAATAATAATAATATCGAACGAATTTTATTTTTTTCTTAACATTATTAATAAGAATAATAATTATTATTAATATTTGTACGTTTCGCGTATGGAAATTAGATCATAATGATCTTGTTTTAAAATAACAAAGAGTTTTGTATTAAGATATACTTTTTACTTTTCAAAATTCATTTTTCTTGATTACTCGCGTACAGGTGAAAACTTTCAAACCATGAAGAACAATTACGACCTTCTGCGAGTTTCTTTCTTTCTCAATCAGGGAGAAAGTTAGTGCTCGAAAGTATATACTTACCAATCGAGTGAAACTAGAAATAAAAATATTCTTTACAACGTTAATTAGATGGAACAATTCAAATGTGTTTAAGACTTATATGAATATTATTGCGAAATGATAATTAATTACAAATTTCCCTATTATCTTATTTGATCGTGCGTAACCGTGTTGTTGATCGTTTCTACTGTTTACTATCTAATCACTCTACACACAATATGTGTACAAACATCTGTGATGAGAAAACATGTTTCACGTTAAAAGCATTCATTTAAATAATAATGCAATGTGTGGTGCATTGAGTTGTCCGGAAATAAATTTCATTTTTCTTTCAGAGAGTAAAAAGGAAAAGAAAAAAACAAAAGACAATTTTTTCCTATTAAGAACCAAGACATTTTAGACGAAAGCGAATTTGATTAAAGTTATAAGACAGGTTCGAGTGTGTCCTGCATGAAAGCTTTCTTTTTTTAGTGATCGTAAAATTGAGCATCCTTACCGACCGATCTACACGTGGAAGAAAAGCCACAATATCCGGGTAAGCAAGGGCGAACGATCGTCATTCCGCGAACAGCCATCTTCCGATCCGGTTCTCTCACCGGTTACTACAAATCGATATTTTTCTTGACATTATTTGTTTAATTTCTCTTTCGGAAAACCGATAAATCTCGAGTGCATCGTTTTCGGTCCATCGTTTGTTACGAATATTCCGTCTAAGAAGTTTCAAAGTGCCATTTTGTTGTTTTCCGTGTGCTGTTACTATATACGAGTGACGTGACGTCATTAAAAATAAAACAAAATCATCATCGATCTACGAAATTTCAAGGAAATAAAGTTTAACATATCACGTTTGTTTTATCTCTCTCTCTTATATGTAAATTATCATTCATAATAAGAAAAGATCGATCGATTAAAAAAACTTTCACGTTAGATTAATTGATTATTTCTTATCTTTTTGTTTATTTTTTATCGGAGTCTTTTGTATGGTCACGTTTTCTTTTAAATATATTCGCGAGACGCGTTCAATTTTTCGAATACATTTTTCTCTGTTTATTTCTTTTTTTTTTTTTTCGTATACAATTATCTCCAAATATCTTTTTCGATAATAACAATTGATACAAAAAAAAAAGTATTTTATTTCTTTTAAAAGAGAGATTATTTTTATTTTTTTTATTATTTATCTGTCGAATTTAATAAAGATGCACGATACGCGGGCGCGGAATCTTTGCAGGACTAACTTTCATTCAAGATAATGATATAATATCAGCGATGACTGAGCGATAAATAACGTCAACGATGACTGAACGATAAACAACGTCAGCGATGACTACAAGAGATAAAAACACTTAAAAAAAAGCGGGGACTTTTTAATAACTGTAATCTTTTTTATCAAAATACTTAATCAATAAACTCTCTCCCTTTTTTTTTGCTTATATTTATTAGACAAATTAATCTATTTGATCGAGCACATGATTTCTGATCTCTGATGATTATTAAAATGATCTATAAATATAAAATTACGTTTCGAAATGTGTCTCGAGAGGAATTTTGAGAAAAAGAAAGTGTATCTTATATTATTACGAATGACTGATCATAATCTTCTACAATCATCGACTTTGTTAATCATCAACAAACACACTCGATATAAAATCTTATAAATTATTAACGGACATCAGGAATTAAAAAAAAAGAGATAATTAAAGGTTTTTTTAATTCATATCTGACCGGTAAGGTAGAATTTTGTATCGACCGAGTCCAGACGGGTTGGAAGACTTGCTAAATTGCTCGACACGGTGTTCCGATTTCACCGTGCGAGCTCGTTTCACACTTGCATAATGGCATTCCGAAGTTGGATGTAATTTGAACGGGTCAACAGTACTGTCAAATGAAATCTTACCGTAAAACTGTTCTACGATGTCCTGTCCTTTCTATAAAACATTTTTCGACTCGTCAAAATTTTGTGCAATTCTTTTAATCTCCGATCAATCAAATTTCGCAATATCGAACAAACGATAAAGAATTTTGATAGTTTGTCACTTTTTTTTATTGTTATCCACAAACAAGTGTTTTAATCTTTTATATACGTTCTCCCATTTTTCTTTTAAATTATAATTTATGTAAATACAAAATCGAATATAAATTTAATCATTTATTGTTCAATATTGTTTGCAAATTTAACGCTTTCGTTTTGGTATGCTTTGGCGAGTATTGTTCCTTATAAATTCGCTTGTATATTTATATCCTTGCATGGTAAGACTTCTATACGAATAGATGGGATCTTTCCATGGATGACCCATATATGGGACGCGAATAACAAAAGGGTTCAAATTCAAAACATTATACGATTAAGTTAATTCAAATTATTTTAGTATACTATATAGGTTTTGCGCTTCAAATTCATCCCCTTTTGTAATTCAAGTAATTTCTATGTAAATATTTTATTTAGAAAAGATATTTTTTAAACGTGAATTAATTATATAAAAAATTACAAATCTTTTTACAAACAGGTATATTAGATATACTACGTATTTCATAATATTATATAATTAGATTACATAGTACATATATGTACAGGCGGTATTGACTCACGAACACACAAAAAAAACATATTTTCATAAAAAAGAAGAAAAATAATGGAGATAATTGAGATGACGATATTAACATAAAATATGAATAAGAAAAATAAAAATTAAAAAGCACGGTTCACGCAAGTTGAAGGTTAGTCGGTAGAAGTTCGAGCGGTATCTTAAAGTTACAATGACAAATTATTAAACGATCGATCTTCGATTTTTCTAGCAACTTTTTTTTTTCTTCTGCTTTGCACTTATTCCACGTACGAGACGAAAATTAAAATGTTTCACATAAATGATCTTTTTCGTTGATGCAGATTTTTAAAGAACAACCGAAACTAAAAAGACAGAAAGGAAAATAAAAAGAAAAACAGAAACAAAAAGTGTTGCGAATAATTGATCATTTACAAAATGACCGATCAAGTGTCGCCGTTACGCGAAAACTTTGTTAATGGATATTTAGATGGGAATTTCGATAACGTCGATCAATTTGAAAATCATTCCGACAAAGGATCGTTGGATAATTCTCCACGAAATCGCGTGCTGAGGTATAATAAGTAAAAAAAAAATAAATTATAACAAAACAATTATTAATCGAAATTTTATAATCGTCAAACTATTAAAATCTTCATAGATTCGTTAACAACAATATTGGTAATCGGTAAAAGATGATAATCCAAATGCAAATGAGTTGCGTTAAATTACGATATTTTTAGTCATCGTATCGAATAATCAATTCTCATGAATAAAAGCAATAAACATATGATTACGTGTTCTTACATTGCATTCGTAAAATTATAGAATAGTTTCCGTGATATGTATTCTTTAAAGAATTGTTTCTTTTTCTTCTAGATTTTATATTACTGCAAAACACAGTAATCATCGGACTCCTTAATGCGACAACGTTTTTTTATTATTTATTTTTTATCATTTATATCGAGTTTTATTTTCTAATTGATTTACTCTCGTGTGTTTAATTAATGTTTATTTATTTTGTTTTTCCTCTTTTTTTTGTTAACAGGAGAACGAGAAGCTTAAACGCACCAAGTCCGATACAACAATTTGGACCATGCGGGCGTATAATGAAAAACTCGGCTATGGTCATGTGAGTAAATTGATTTATTATTTTAATAAATTAATCATCACATGAATTTTCTGCGAATCAGAAAAAGCAAAAACTGAATGAAATGTTAGAAAAACTAACAATAAGTAGATTTATGTAACTGATTTTTTGCGTGTTATTTAATAACGATCGCGACTTATAATTTATTCTCTTACAAATCATTAACAATTCATTGAAAATTTAATGTCGAATTCATTATAAGTTAAATTAACTTAACGACAGAAAAGAAATGCCAGCCATTTAGTTCGGTAATGTCTACACTGTATAATACAAAAAAATCATTTCAGAAAAAATATTACAGTCAATACCGATTGTTCAAATCTCGTCACGCAGAGGTTGTTGCGTTTGGTGATCCATCGAGTTGTTATTCATAGATTTATGTGTACGAATAAATCTAAAAGCTTTTTCTTTTTTTATATGACTCGTATTGGTCATTTAAAATTCAAGGGCAAAGTTAATTAATGCTGACCATTACGAACAATTGTTGAGATCGAACAAAAACATTGGTTGAAAACGTTTATTCTTCTGACAAAGATATGCTATCCATGAATTTGTCTCGTATTGTTGCTAGACCGAACAATTCTGAAACACCCAACGTATTGTTCAAAAATTACCCCTTCCAATTATCATTTGTTCAGACCGATGGAAAGTACTTTGTCTGAGATGTGCACTTAAAAATATTTGAATAAGTGCAAAAATAGGTCAACGATTTCATCTTGTAAAAATTCGAAAGACTATTCACTTCTGAAATTCGTAAAAAAAGTGACGTCAAGTGATAGACGATGGATGGAAAATATTTTCAAACTTATTTCTACATCTCAGGAGATTAAAAATAGTAGAAAAAAAATATAGAGAAGTGATGAGTTAGGTCGAATGAATTATTTGATCAATGATCGATGAAATTCGTCTTCATTGTCAATGTCATTTGTCAGATCTTGTATCGATATTAATCATTACGTATTGTAAAGTTTATGGTCATCGTAGAAGGCACAGAAGTCTCGTGACCTATATCGCAGGAACGGTACTCTCTGCAGGCGTTCACCATTCTTTGTGATTCGATCGAACCGATCGTAAACTAAATAAAATATGTTCTAGGTATTGTTCACCATTCAATAATTATTCGTAGAACAAATCCTATTAAGATATTATATATATATTTTTTATTTATCTTTTTTCACAATAGACAGACACATTTTTCTTTTAGATAATCGTCGAAGAATGCAAAAGAAAAACACACACAAAAATTATAAAACGTGAGATCATAATATAGAAATACAGTTTTGCCCTTGATCGATGGTATTCGCCTACGTTATGCGTTAGAATGATAATATAGATGTAAAGAATGATTTCAAGGTTTTTACATAAGTGTTGATTCTTCTTTATTCACACATGGATATTATTTTATTATTATTAATTAATTAATTAATTAAATAAGACGATATACTTAAATAATACGAGTATCTTTATTGTTTATTTGTTATTATTTTTCTTTCATTCGTTTCATAGTTGTGAAAAATTGTTTAAAAAGTTATGACACTTTGCTTTAGGTAAAAATAAATCTTCTTAAGGTAGGAGGATCGTTACAAAGTTCATTTTCACTCGAGAATAAACAAGAAAAATTTGTCGAATCATTAAATTCGTCGATTTAGGTATTGCAATCATATGTTACTAATATTTTTCATAATTTAATTACATGCACGATTTCTCGTTAACATAGAATTTATTATAGAACACGTAATAGAAAATAACAAAAAATCTATTATAAAAATAAATATTACTATTGATCTTCAATAAATTGAATACATACATACATATTGTAATTTTGTAACCACAAATTCTGCATTAGATTATGCTAATCATCGGGAAACGGTACGTTAAATAATTCTTTTTTAAAAATCTAATTGTAAGAGAAAAATCATGAGTCATGTTTCCAAATTAATATTGTCGTATTATTACATCATTTTCTTGTCATTCTCGTCTTTATTATTTGTTGTTACGTGAAAAATGACGATCTTTGAAATAAGGTGTCTATTTTCTTTTTTTCATGAAATTATTTCATTACATTGTTTGAGAAATATCGTATTTCTTCGAAATTTCATTCGAGTAAGTAATAGTAAATATTTTGCATATATTTCGTGACGCTGTATTTATATTTAATTATGTTCTCTCTCTATAAGTTAACATACATACACTTTGATGACTCATATTTTTTATTAATTATCATATTAACTAATATTTTAGTTATAATATATAAAATATAATTTCATATACAAAATTAAAAGTTTCTATAAATGTCATCAACAATTCTCAGGATATCTGTTTTTCCATTTTTCTCAATAGGGTCCCAAAAAATGTAGAAACACATTTGCTTAGAACAAAAATTATTAACACTTGTCATTATCGTTCGTTATTATACAAAACACTCGATTTAATACAAGTACAGATATGCCGAACAAAGCAGAAACACAAAAAAAAGAAAGATAAAAAGAAAGATTATTTTATATTAGCACGTGGTCACTGATGAAGGAGATTTACGACGCATGCGCTTTAACGTACTAACGTTTACCATTAAAAGTTCGAAACGAGCCGTATAGTTAGCAGTTAGCGAGTGACCATCGCAGAACGAGAAGTATCTTTTCGTCGTTGTAACGTTTACAACTTCATCATGGTTGGAACTGTCAAGTGAGTTAAAATGACATTAATGTCTAACTAAATTAATTCATTCATTTTTATTAATCATCTTTAACGTTATTCTTCAAAAATTACTCGTATGTCACGACGTGTCATTTATTAAGTTGTCATACGATAAACGTCAAAGTGTTAAGTAAAACGTCAGACAAAACAATTAGTACCCCTTAATGTTGGATATAAGATATATGGTATATCGTGGAAATATAATATATATACTTAAAAATAAATTATATTGATTGAGATACATTACAATTACTTCATATCATAATTAAAAAAATATTACCAAGAAAAGAATATTTCACTCGAGGAAAATAAAATGAAAGTTCATATTATGTCGATAAACATTGACTGCGAACTTCGTTTAAAAATCTTCGCTTTCCCTTCAGATCGAAATTCCAATCCAATGGTTTTATTTCTAATTCCGTCAGAAGCACGGAAAATAGTTGCAATAGAAACATGGAATTCCTTCCGAAAGGAGAAGACCAACCCGGTTGCATTATCTCGTTGCATTATTATCTCGTTGCAACCTGACACGGTAATCAGCACGTCCTCGAAGTAGCAGCTAGCTAACATCTTCCTCCACTTAGAAATTTCCGAAGGGTATAAAATGAACGACGACCCTTCTTGTTATTCATCCTTTTCATCTTCTTACTGTTATTTCCGTTGAAAACATCAAAATCTTTCATCACGAAAATTCCAATGCGTAGGGTTTCCCCCTCCTCACCCTCAAAGTCTTCCGACAGACCTGTTTACCTGTTTACCTGTCTAACACCCTATACCTACATCATAGTAGTTCAGTAGATCATGACACCGATTTGATTTATTGAAAAACAACTTCCTCTTTATTGTACCAAGACTATAATCTTGATTATGGTCTATATGGTATAGTTTATTGTAACAATAAATTGTTGGTATAAATTTAAGATGAGAGATAAATTTTTAACTGCACGAAATTTTTGTCCCATTTTTTCCAATCTTATCCAAAGTTTGGATTATTCATTTCTGATTATTCTTTTGGTTTTACAATTTTGAACATACATTTTCCGGCACCACTCGAACGATCATTCTTCCAATATGATCAAAAAAATATTCTCTGGCTATAGTGAGTCGGAGTTAGATAGCATAATTATTGAGGAACGCGTAGGTAGTCAGCATAAAGTATTCGTAATTCATTGATTTATTTTCTTAGCACGAACTTACTTACTTTTATCTTGACCAGGAGTAACGTTACGTGTGTCTATGACGACGATTACTGTGCCTTATGAATTATTATTAGGCAAGCTTTTCTACGATCGATAATGACTCCCCAACTCGAATGGATGGATCCCCAACGCCTCGACCTCTTTCTAATAAATTTCTTCAAATGATCCCGTTTGTTATTTTCAATTGAACACGGTACTAAAAAATTATGGTAGTAAGAATAAAAATAAAATATAATTAAGTAAATCAAATATTCGACCTCTTTCTCATAAATTTCTTATTGATCGCTGTTTATAATTGTGAACCAAACAAAAAAAAAAGAAACGAAAATACACAACAATGATATGAGAAGAAAAAAGTAAAATGAAATACTTGATTTCTTTCGTATAAATTTCTCATTGACGCTTTCATAATTATCAATCAGAACAAGATTCTAAAATTAAAGCAATTATATACAAATTAAAATGACAATAACACGTAATAGAAGAATAAAATAGTACGGATGAATAAAGGTAAAAAAATAAATCATATAATGTAAACAACTACTTATTCGATTATATTAATATTTAATAATGACTAAGCTTAAATTTTTGAATATGCATAAAATTTACAAAGGGTCACGTCGTTATAATATAGGTTGAATATTTCAATATTCCGGAAGTTTCGTAAATAGTTCGTAATTGTCGTTTGCATTCAGATAAGTAGGGGTGTATATATATAAAGGTAGGAATGCATTGTACGTTTTTCAGTTAAATTTCGAACTCGTTCCAAGTGTTTCGGAAATACTATGTCTCTAATCAAATCTTTTACAAATGGATATTCGGAATTATGCAATTCAACTATTTCCAATAAAGTTGCTAAAAACAACGTAAACAATTTAATTGACTTGATTTATAGGACCATTCAGGACCCAGCCTCGCAAAGGTTGACTTGGTACAAACCACCGCTGAGTGTCCTCGTGATAAAAAAAGTCCGTGATTCGTCTGTTCTACCACCGTTTGTGCAGTTGGTAACATGGCTGATAGAAGTAAGTAATAATTATGATTCTAACAATAAAAGATGATTGCTTTGTGTTACGTAATAACGGAAAGGACAACAAAAATACGTAATAGCCGTAAACGTTTTTGTGCGTTGAGCGAAAAACGATTATTTACAAACGTACGGTGGAAAATAATTTTTACTCTTTTCTTTTTTATTTCCTTCTTTTTTTTTTTTCTTTTTATAGAGAAGAATTTAATCAAATATAAATAATTCGAATCGTCGATGATCGTAATCGTTGTTCGCGTAAGACAAAATGTAATTCAATTAAAAAACCGTATATAAATCTGTTGTTAATATTTTGTTATAGTTGCACGTAAATCAGTTGTCATACATTGACGCATAAATTTGATTTATGCTTATTATTATTATTATTGCTTCACGTAGTAGATAGAAACCAACGATGCATACAAATGCACATTTCTTTCATACTTTATCAAGAAAAAGATTCAAGAGCGATATTCTTTGTTTTTATTTCTGTGAAATAATTTCAATCCAAGTAATGAGAACGTCGGAATTTATATATAACAGTAGAATTGTGTTATCATATTCTTTTTTTTTCTTGTTATTTCTCAGGCGATTTTAATGCAAATTATGAACTTCGTAGCTTATCGTTGCATGTTAACACGTTAACGACACCACATCGGTCATTCGTGACCAGCGTTTATTTTTTCAATCGGGTTATGGAGGTTACCCGTGATCGTTATTGCTATAATCTTTAATATTTTATTATAAAATAGTGGCCTCATTAAGTGTAAAACTTGTCAAATTTACATATAAAATCGACGTGTTTTAATCGTACGCTTTTTTCTTTTCTTTTTACAAATGTTATTAACAACAACGATAACGATAATAATTCAAATTTTGCTTAATATTTCGTTCCTTGATTTTTCATATTTTTTCTATAATAAAATGTACATAATCGTTTCTCGGAAATATCACTCAAATAGAACGAATGAGCACGTTTATATTTATTGCCAAATTAGAACTTTGTTTGCTTATCTTTCACGTGACCAATAAGTAGGAGTAATTTTCGATTTCGCTGATGGTTCACGTATTGGACAGCATTTGTTCACAGTTATATCACGTGATCGTTATTATTTTTCATTGATAACTACTTGTATATGTATTAATATATATCATATATATATATATATTATACGATTTTATATCTACCTGATTTTTTGGATAACGTTTAGGAAAAACGAATGGTCGTATTCGTCGAAGCCACTGTACTCGAGGACTCAGCATTGGCTCGGGATTTAAGATTTCAAGGAGTTCGAGACAGATTACAAACATTCAGAGATGGCACCGATGATTTGCAGGTATTGAGATTTATCGATTTTATTTGCTAGATTGCAATCAACAGAAACATAGTCGAAGATAATGAATTAATATGTGTATATATGTAAATAATAATAATGATATCGATAAATGATGTATTTATTTCGTTATAAACGACTCATATAATGGTTATAAATGCAAAGGTCTGTATGTAAGATCGATTCTTATATGAGTTGTTCATCCAAAGATTCGATTGACCCATATAGAAGTAGCGCATACCACCATTCATACGTTACCAGAATATTTATATGCATAATTTTATTTGTTGTACAGGATAGAATAGATTTTATAATATGTTTGGGAGGCGATGGCACTTTACTTTACGCCAGTCTTCTCTTTCAACAATCCGTACCACCAGTTATGGCATTTCACCTTGGTTCATTGGGTTTTCTCACGCCTTTCGAATTCGACAATTTTCAGGAACAAGTTACGAACGTTCTCGAAGGTAAATATAAAAAAACGCAAACGTTAGATATAATTTATTTTGTTTTTTTTTTGTCTATTCCATTTACTCGTCAATGTACTATTTAAATTTAATTTTCAAAAATCGCGTAGAAAGAAAGAAAGAATGGGTTATTCTTTAAAAATTATCCCGTACGTTGACGCGATTTAAGAAGAAGAAGAAGAAAAAAAAAGAATAAAAACAGTCGTAATAAGACGCGTGGAATGTGCTAAAGCGAATGTAATTCACACCAGGAAAGCAAGAACAAAGTGGTAGAATATTTTTGTTGTCGCGTTTTAAATCTTTTCCAACGCATTTGATATCTTACGTGTAGTATCGCTCGATCAAAAAACACAACTTGCAAACCGAATTTTTTTATTCCGAAAATATCATGCATAATTCATTCGTGTTCGCTAAGTTTAAAACAAACATTTATTTCCTGTCTTGTATTAGATTTCTTTTCCTTTTCCGCGTGTTCCTTTTATGATTTTGACGATATCCATTTCGTAAAATACCATATCAATAAAAATTATGTTAGATAATGGATACGATTAAAAGCTCGTTAATTCGATAACAATGTTAGTATGTCTTTTCTTTTATTTTTTTATTATATTTTTCGAGATATTTAAAATTGATTGTTCTGTGTATACAGGTCACGCGGCTTTGACCCTTCGGAGTCGTTTAAGGTGTATAATTATGCGAAAAGGAGAAGAGGGTCAGCCATCTAAATCACCAACGAATTTGTTAGTACTGAACGAAGTGGTCATAGATCGAGGACCTTCGCCATACCTTTCAAACATCGATCTTTTTATCGACGGCAAGCATGTGACCAGTGTTCAGGGTGATGGCCTGATCGTCAGTACACCAACTGGCTCTACGGCCTATGCAGTAGCTGCAGGAGCTAGCATGATCCATCCTTCGGTACCTGCAATCATGATCACACCGATCTGTCCTCATTCCTTATCATTCAGGCCAATTGTTGTACCAGCTGGTGTCGAATTAAAGGTGATTATTATTGTTATTTTCACCTCGTTAATGTTTATTAAAACAAAACTTGATAAAATAATTCAATCATTTTAGTGCTAACTTGTATAAAAGATTACAAGTTTTGATTGAAGTTTAATTGCATCGCCATTAAATATTGTGTTAAAATTTAATATTATTGTATTAATTGTGAACAAAGGATGTCTCAAACGAAAATTAGAAATATTCGATTGGATCGAACGAGAACGTTGAAGGAAACTTGACTCCTCATAGTCCACATTCCCAGACCATGCGTTGCTCTCTTTGGCTTCTTCAAAATCTTTGCAGTCGAGTGGTTCCCCCTCTACCCCCCGCCCCTCAATGGACTTTTGCCGAATTGTTTGTTTTGTATTTCAATCTACGAAGAAATATTCATTAATTTTGTTCGTTACTTTTGATCGTAGATTTCAGTATCGCCAGACAGCAGAAACACTTCGTGGGTCTCGTTCGACGGTAGAAATAGACAAGAGTTGTTTCACGGAGACAGGTAAAAATATTCTTTTGAATCGTTAGGTCTAATCGAGGATCTTCCTCTTTTTATATTTTCAGATAATGTCTAACAATAATGCCCGCAGCACGGCCTACGTTTCCTTTGATGGTCGGAATCAACAAGAACTGCGAGTCGGGGACAGGTCTGTCCATAATTATACAAATGATTACGTTACTGGTTTCTACCACTTTCGTTTTTTCGTTTTTTATTTTCTTTTCTTTCTATTAATGCGTATGCAGTTGTTTCTTTTCATTTCAAATTCATTAGACGTTATATACATATATTAAATATTCATATATATATATGTATATATGTTTTAACACTGCTATAATATAAAAGATACAACATGTCTTTCGCGTAATTGTTGTTCCTTCTTCATTAAAAGCTTTTATCTCTTGGTTTTATAATCTTTCTTATCCATTTTCATTTGAACGTTAACGAAGAACTCCAAAACTAGATATGCTTCTCCTTTCACTTTCTGGAATTTCGTAACCTAATCGGAAACGTTGGCTGATATCTGCAGGGTGATGGTACTTTGTATTTACCCCGTCTTTATATCCGCATTGTGTCTTATGTTATATTAATTTGTATTTGTCATATCTTTACATCCGCATTATCTGTACACATGTGTGTATAAATATATTAATATGTATACGTATACTATATATAATATATATTGTATATTATACTAACAAAAAATATATTTATGCAACATGAACATACATAAATGCATCTTCAATTTCAAATTGGAAACCACGTGCCGGCAATTATAAAAGTGGACTATATTAAAAAATTGAACAAATTTATTTATTGATATAAATCATTTGGAATCGATCATCTCAATTCCAAATAAGGTTAATATTCTTCAAAAACCAAACTGAATTCTATCAAACTAATGGCTCAATTTTTGGTCACACAAATCCTATGATAATTATAATATAAAATAAATTATCAAATGAATGTATTTGTTCAATTTGTTGATTCAGTCTTACACATTATATATGTATATATATATATATATATGTTAAAATTATTGTCAATTGAATAATGATATAACAGAGATCATTTTCACTAATTTAGACATTATTTTACAGTTTACAAGTGACAACCTCGGTATATCCTGTTCCTAGTATTTGTGCAGCCGATCAAATAACGGATTGGTTTGATTCTCTCGCCGAGTGCTTACACTGGAACGTTAGGAAAAGGCAAAAACATTTGGACGAGCTGAGTGACTTGACTCATTCATCTAGCAACGATACCCTTGACTCTTTGGACCGTGACAGCTAGGCGAAGGCATGTGTTATAAATAGACAATAATAATTTAGCACAATTGGTAATATCAAACACAAATCTAAATGATTTGTGCGAGTGCCTCTAAAGTGATAAGAACATGGAATTCAACTCTACGGATAATAGACGATGGGTTTTGTTCTGTATCATTATGAAAAGTTATTAGAACTATACCGGTGTCACAACTGAGAAATCGATCATTAATTTTTCGACTTTTAAAAAGCGAGTATATACATGCTCGCTCATAGTCATCGATTTGTACGATAATATCCAAATGAACATCGACATTTGTGCGAACATAGTGTCATAATACAATTCGATGCTTCTGATGAGTTGTTAATTAACGCCGCAGAGTCGAAAGGCTAATTAATATTTTATTATCAAGGATCAAACGTTTAAAATACACGTGCATTGAAAATAAAAAAAAAATATAGAGAGATCGTAAGTTTCTGTATTTCTCTTTTTGTTTCTTTTTTTTTTTCTCTCTTCTTTTTTGTATCCTAGACTGATTGTATATATTCCAGAGATGCGTTTTTGTCTTCGTACGATATTATTATCATCATCGTTTTATAAATTACCGACGATAAACCACGAACCATTTTATTCGAACTTTACATCATATCCGAAATGGTCGAGATAAACGAAGTGAAATTACACACATACACACACATACAATGAAGCTATTAATGCGCAAGAGATTTGAAAGAAGAAGATATCTGATAGTTGTTGTACTTGTTTCAATTACGTTTCAACATCAACGCCGATCGTGAGCTCATAAGAATAATCGGTTCGATTCTATGAGAGTAAATCATCGTAATTTTGCTAAATATAAAACTCTCATATAAATCGAACGATAATTATAATCGTATAATTTCATTGATTACTTCTTTGAGATCATTATATTTTGATTGATTACAATAAATGGTAAATCATTGTTGTATTATAAATGGAATTATATTAGGTGTTATATCCAACAGAAACAAATCTATAACTAAAGTTGTTCTTTGAAAGTTAATTCGATTGATTAATCAACGAATAATGCTTAAATTAGTGCCAATGCTTATCAATCGTTGAAGATTGTTACTGTGAACTATGTATCGGAGATAGAATCTTAGATGTAATCAATGAAATCATTTAAAATCGTGAAAAGTATCATTTTTAATATTAAATGTTAACAATATAATATTTTTATTGTCAAATTATATGTATATATATATGTCATTTTTGTAATATTTAATAATTCAATTTAGAAATTATTTTTTCCCTCTTTGTGTGTGCATCGAAATTCGGTAATCATTTTTATTCAGGGTTATTATATCATTTGTGTAAAATTCTTCGCGTTTCTTTTAATCGGAATGAATTTGTTCTTCTTTATTTATACTCGTTTTAAATTAAAACAGAAATATGTTATGAATTCATGTGCATGAAAATTATATGTTTTTAATATTAAATGCGAAATAATTTTTAATTCGTACTTTCCTGTTTCTCATTTAAAAACAACGAATATTATTATTTTTTAATTTTTGCAAAAGAAATATTATTTGAATGAATGTAACAAATGAACGATGGATTCATTCGCAATCAAAGATTTATAATTTAATCGTCGAAAATAGAAAAGTATTATCATAATTTTTATTACCTGTAATAATTCATCAAAAACAAAAAAAATTTTTCATGCGTAAAATTATGTTCAATTAAAATACTCGAATAATATTTATTTTTTGTTTTGTCATTCGAGCTTTCGTTGATGTCGGTGCAAACGTTTCATCCACTTCGTCGGATCTTTTTTAAATTATGCTATACGTACGTGACGTTGAAAGAGTAAAAAATAAAATAATACGTTTGTTCCATATGAGAGAGCGAGAGAAAGAGTGAAGAAAGTGAATGAGAAATGGTAAATGAATTTCGCGTGATTTTATGTGTTAACGTTACAACAAATTTTTTTCCTATGAATGTAAGTCTTTTTAATAAAACCACTTTTTTTGTACAGAAATATTCTTAGCAAACATTATTCGATAAGATTTCTTTGAAACGCTTAAAACGAAATATTATTACTTATCGGAATTAAGTGTGTAAATGATGAACGAACCAAAATACTAACGAAATATGAAGAAATAAGATAAGTTTGTATTACATTTATAATACCTAATATACCTATATTAGGTATTTATAATACCTTTCTATAGTATCTAAGTTTGTGTATTATTTATTTCTATGCTATAGGAAACTGCGAAATCTACAGTATGTACAGATGAGAGTTTGGTTTTAAGCAACGAATATCTCTTATTATTAAATCTTATACGAATAAGTAGTAAGATGTCCACGAAGACATAAAGTTTATTAAAGTACCTGGATTAAAAAAAAAAAAAAATAATAAAAATGAACTTCAATATGTCCTAATACTAACTAAAACTTTTAAATTCAAGATTCATTCGATTGAGAAAAGTTAACACAACTCCCATAAGCATATATATTATATGCATAGTGTTTTATAATTGATAGTACAAACGAACACAGGGGGTTGATTTTACGTGATAAACTAAAAATCGATAATGTAGAATAAAATTTATTCATATTAGTTTCATCTATCTCGACGTATTTCATTATTTTATTCTCCGATATTTCGGAGAACATTTTTGTTCCTATTAATATGTTTGCAAAAATTGTCAATACAATGATATTTCTCGTAATCGGTTCTATCTTTACTATGTTTTTAATTTTCAGAATTACAAGCTCGATCGAGTCCAGCATACTCGACAAATGTTCAATCTTGTTTTTCTCAAAAACACAAATTCTTATACAAACAATTTTTATTTTACATCTTTGACTTTTTTTTTCACGTAGAGTTTCATTCCTTGTTCGTTTGTATCATTAATTACAGGACACCTCGTATGTTCTCTTTACTCTTACATTTGGTTATATCAGTCAGAATTATTCGATGATTCAACAAGATGGAAGTGTCTAATTCTATAATATAAAGAACTAATTAAAATCCTACAAGCGATATTTACATTGTTGTTAAATCAATTAGATAAAATCTAATAAGAACTTAAATCAGAGAGAGAGAAAAAAAAGTTGATTTATGAGATATATATCGCATTCGAAATGGGGTGCGGAGGGGGTCCGGGGGAGATGTAAATCTTCTAAAAAATTCGTAATTGTAACATACAAATTCTTTTCCTTAATATTATTAGCTTAGAAAAAGACAGTCTATGATTGGGGTTGCGTGTTTACCTGAATCGTACGCAAACGTAACTATGTTATTTTCTGTTGCTTTTTTTTTCTCCTTCTTGTTTTTTTTTTTTTTTCGTTGTTCTATGTTTATATCCTGATTTTTTTATCTCTCCCATAAAACTTAATCGCTACGTAGGCACGTCAGTCTCATACGATCCCTTTCGAACTCTAAACTGGTATCAAAAAATATATATGTGTAATACCCTAAATCGAAAGTTCAACCATTTACAAAAATATGAAATGTGTGTGTGTGTGTGTGTGTGTGAGGGATGGACGTGGGGGAGGGGTGGCGTTAGTGTATGCAGTTGAGAATTTACATCTGCGTAACATTTACACAGTGTAAACGTTTGTTTTAACTCTATTTTTTTTTTTCGTTGTCTCATTTTCTTCTGCTCCTTCTTCTTCTTCTCCTCCTCTTTTTCTTCTTCTTCTTCCTTCTTTTCTTCTTGAACCATCGCGATCATCAACCCTGACTCTACTCGCTGGCACCTTTAGTGCCTGCAATTCATATACGTGACCGTTTCGCCGTTTACGACGCGAACGTAACGAGTACAGGCTCGGACGAAAAGTGCAGGTAAGTGGTCGCCTGTAAAAAAAAAATAAAAATAAAAATAAAAGAAAAGTCCAATTACATTCGTAAATCGGCGGGAGCTTGGGAGAGAAGTGGTTTGATGTTTTTTGTATAAAGAAAAGAAGAGAGGAAGTTTATAAAAAGAAAAGAAAAAAAAAAAAAAGGAAAGGAAGTAAGAAAGAAAGAAAGAAAGAAAAAGGAAATGCATGTTTCGAACGAGCAGAGAACACGAAAACTTATGTATATGTGTGTATGCGTATTACATTACATACATAATATGTATATGCACGACATGTAAAAGAAAAAACGATCGAAACGATTCTTTTTTTTATTCTTTCGATCGATATCCACAAACGAAAGAAAAAGAAAAATGAATCAGGATAATCGACTATATATATATAATAACTATAAGTTGTTATTGGCACACGTCGTTAATTATTATCGGATTATAAAAATCTTGCTAGCCAAAACAAAACGAAACAAACGAAAAAAAAAAAAATATAAAATTAAAAAAATGCGAGAGTTAGTACTGTTAGGTCACACACTCACATGCCTTCTGATCGTCGTTGCCGTCCGGGCAAGACGGCTCCTGAATGTAAAGGGCCGGTTTGAGCGGTTTACCGTCCTGATCTTCCACCTGAATTACCAGACCGTGATTGGTAAGGTTACCATGTGAATTTCTTGGGTTTACTCTCCAAAATTTAAGCCCCTGTCGTACGTCTAGTGCCAAATGAGTACCAACGTTCGTTAATGGAGTCACCACGGAATCCATCAAACGTTTCCTTGCTACTAAAAATAATTCTAATGATTAATTTAATAATGTTCATTTTTTTCTTTTCAATGTTCGAGATAGATATTATTTGAAATTTATTACCTCGATGTTTTTTCAAGGATTTCGCGTAATGATAGACCGATATTCTGATCCTCTTTTCATCTTCCTCTTCTGATTCGTTCACGTTGCTATCACTCGTTGACGAAAACGTAACATTGTCCTGCGGCAATTTGTAGATCCTCAATTTCGCAGCGATCACGTGCTCCCCCCACGTCAGATTCAATCGAAAGTGCATGTTCATCAAGAACGGATCCGACCAAGCTTCCTGATCCGTATTACGCGGTATTTGACCTGTAACACGTTAACGAATTTCCCTATTAGTTTGACTGAAATGTATATATTTATCCTCTTCGTTTTCGAGACGATTAGATCAACGATTAGATTACTCACAAGTAGGCGAGAACATTGTCAGTTTTTCACGTTGAACCTTATTCGCGTTCGAACTTAAATTGAATCTTCCCGTTAGTGCCAATACTCTTGATTTTATATCTTCGATCGCTTTCTGTCCTTGACTGTAAAAATAAATTTTATCGTTAATTTAAATTGCATTTTAATAATATAAAAGGATGAGATCGAACAAAAATAATATGGCGCATGCTAAAACGATTTTATTAACAGCAACAGCACCAGAACAATAAGATTCAATGTAGGATAAAAAAGAAACTTGTTACAATTTGAAATAAAATCAAATGTCGCATGAATTAATATCAACTCTTTTTTTATTTTAATCTACACAAAATATTTCTCATCTATTCCGAATTATCCTGTATGTAACTTAAATGTTCAGTAATTGCTGACAATTTGATATAAAAGCATCATTCATTATCGAAGTATTATCTCGTTTTCAATATTGATTAAAGATTACGTCGATAAACATTTTCTTTTACAAAAATCCCATAAAAAATATCTTTCGATTAGTATCACGGGAGAGAAAAATATCTATCGAAAGATACTCATGATTTAATTCTTGTCAATTAATTAATTTAAAAAAAAAGAAAACATTCTCCAACATACAAGAACAAGACTCGATGATAAAGATTTTCTCTCTCTCTACCGGGATCACAAATAAAAATAATACATTTCGATTGGTATCAAGATACAAAAACGAAAGAAAAAAGAAAAAGAAACTCTATCTCTTCACAATTAATTAATTAATAAAAAGGAAAAAAAGAGAAAACAAAATACCCATAAACGGGCACACACGTGTGCCCACACTTAAGGTAAACAAAAAGAAATTTCTTTGAGGTCCCGTACTACGAATAATAATACCCATCCATCCCCTCTTATAGATGATTTTCGAGGTCCGATTATGAAATAGCAATTATGTGCACGCCGAGCTACGAAAATCTTCACCTCGAGACTATTTACGAGGACTTCCGTGTGCTATGACGCGATGGCAGGCAAGCAAGCAGGCAAGCAAGCAAGCAGGCAGGCAAGCAGCAAGCAAGCAAGCAAGCAGGCAAGCAAGCAAGCAGGCAAGCAAGCAAGCAAGCAAGCAAGCAGGCAAACAGGCAACGATGGTCAGTGACCTAGAAAGAGGCTACAGGCTATGGGTCCGAGTCATTTATTATACGCTCTAGACAGCGGCTAGACGGACAGTGAAGATATCGGCACCCCGATCGGTTTTCTCTTTCTCTCTTTTTCTCTTTCTCTCTCTGTTTCTCTGTCTGTCTTTTTTCTCTTACTCCTTTCTCTTTGAAACGTCTCTTGAGGTATACACGTGCCCATATATATGTATATAGTAAGCGTGTTCTACAAGCGCCTTGTGTTTATGTATTAACGCTCGAACGTAATACACACGAATGCAGTCGTTCCGAGGCCGCGCCTCGAATCTCCAAGGAGTCTCAGGACTCGTCTCGATTTGCATTCCACGTTCTTCTTCTTCTTCTTCTTTTCCTTCGTCTTCTTGTTCGTCTTCTTCTTCTTATTCCTCTTATTCCTCCTCTTATAGAAATTTCCTTTAGATTTTTGACTTATACACAAAATAATTCAACGATTATTATTGCGATAGTTTTAAAACGAGTTACGTTTAACGAGTTCAACGTGACTCATCAACGTTGTATCCTACTCTGCGTATAATTGTCGTAGTTTTCTTTTTATTACACCTTTTTTTTTTTTTACGAGCTCCGTAGGAAGAGAGACAGATTTTTATCTTTATTATGTGCTATGTGAGAAAAAGAAATAAATTAAGAAGATCAAGAAGAAGATGAAGAAGAAGACTGGTAGCTCCTCGGCATGTGTTCCTTTTTTTTTTTTTTTTTACAAGCATCTTTCTCTCGAGATAAGATTGCTACGAGAGAGAGTGAAAGAGTATATTTAATAGGTGTGTATATGGGGTACACACAGAGACAGGTATTTAGAAATGTACAGAGGAAACATTACGATCGTCGTTTCTAAGGGTTAAACTCGAGCCGATGCCGCGTCAACGACCTCCACCCGCGTGAAACAAGAATTTTCTTTCACGGTGAAAGTGAGAGATCACAAAATCTCACGTGTTTCATTTGGAAATAAGGAAAGTGTTCTTCGATTTGTAATTTTTATTCTATTTCTTTTTCTTCTTCTTCTTCTAATTTTTCCTTTTATTTTTTCAAAATATTAGATCTACCGCGGAAAGTACTGTTCGATAATATTATCATGCACTTTTGTCAGCTTATCACATCATGTGCATGTATTCAATGAGATTCGGTCTATTGAAAAAACGTATATATATTATTTAATTTTAATTCAAAAAACAAACATAGATTTTTTCGGTATACATAATATAAAAAGAAAACAGAATAAGAAGATGAGAAATAACGCGTGTGTACGCGGGAAAGTAGAAGAATGGAAAGGATTCTTAATCGTAATCGGGTTGAACCGAAGGAGGTAAAAAAAAAAGAAAAGAAAAAAAGGATTGCGAGAAATGTTAGGACGAAATGTTGGCTATCTCTTAGGTTTGATTCTAGGCATGCCCGTTGATCTAGCCGTGTCCAAGTCACGCATTCTACGCCGTCTCGTTGCGTACGTGCCTCGTCTGACTGCCGTCTGGTCTGGGAAAGAGGACTCGCGAGTAGAGTCAGTCTGGAGGCCGTCGTCGAACATGAGAACGGATCCGGTAGGATTACGAAGATACCGTAATTTCTATCTTTTTTTTTTCTTCTATTACAAGAGATCCAAATTAAAAAACATAGAAAGTTGATATATAAACAAAAAAAAGTATATATTAGAAGAGAATTATTCAAAAATCGGCGAATACACACACACAAAAATAAACGAAATAAAGTTCGTTGAAGTAGGGTAGGTAGCTGTTCACTTGTAAGCAACTTGAAAATCAGGAGCACACTCTGGGTAAAAGTAAAAGGTGGAAGAAGAAGAAGAAGAAGAAGAAGAAGAAGAAGAAGAAGAAGAAGAACGAACGAAATGAGTATTGGAACGAGTTATGATAGGTGGTGGTGCATCGAGAAAAGAAAGAAAAGTAAAAAAAGGAATGAACAAGGAAAAGAAACAAAAAACAAAAGAAAAAAAGAAAAGAAAAGGAAGAAGATGCAGCATGCATTTCGCTCGTTGACGAGGGTTGGATGAAGTCACTCGAAACTTCCTTCTTTATCCTTCTCTCTATCTATCTATCTATCTTTCTTTAACTCTTTCATCCGTCTGCGTTCACGTAGGAAGAGAGACGCATAGACAAGGTCAGCGCATTAAATTGAAATGTGTTACATAACGTCGTAAGAGAACAGCCTAACTGCAGTCCGACTAGACACTCGGTTATTACGAGGGTGCTCAACTCGGCTGGGTAGACTGCGTTTAAGTATGCAAACGACGGTTCTCGATTACTATTATGACTGTCGCGAAAAAGAACAGACGCATAAATCGTAGCCTGAGACGTTAGTCCACCCTCCCCCTCCCAACCAAGCCGCCCTCTCTCTCTCCAACCCACCCACTTTCTCTCTTTCTTTCTTCCTTTCTTTCTTGCTTGAGAAATTCTCGCCCCGTTGCGTTGTATTATGCATGCATGCATGCATGCGTGTTCCTTTCGTAAGAAATTGTATCTGTCATTTTTTTTGTTTTTTTTTTCTTTCTTAGAACAATCATTGACAGCCGATGATAATTGGTCTTGATTGTTTTACCTCGAATAAAATCTAACGTTTTGAATTCTACTTATATATACATGTATGCATTTATGTGTATACGTATGTCGTTTCTACGCACGCGTGTCTTCTCTTCGATGACACTAGTCATTGGGTATTACCATCCTGGTGATTGTTTCTTCCGAACAAAATTATCTTCAATTACTTGCAACGAAATAATAATGACTAATGTTTGAATAATAATAATAAAAAAAAAAGAAAAAACAAACAAACTCTTCTTATAACACGATCCACGCGTTGTTATATTATTACCCATGGGAGAAAAGAATGAGAAAGTTAAAAGATAAAAAAAGATAATAGTAAACTTTGTTTCCTTTTTTTTCTTTCAAAATAGAAAACTCCTATAGGCAATTACAAAATCAAGTTGGATATAAGGAGATGAATGTTTTTATTTTAAACAGGTAGGATTTGAAGACTTTTGATAAACTTGATAAAATGATTGAAATAATTTGAATCAACCAATTCTCTCGTATCATTTGCATTATTATAAAATTCAGCGTTTCTTTAGGACTATCAAAGGAACTTCTTTGATCCAAATCATGGTCGATGAAATGCAGATCATGTTTAGAAATGTTCCTATTTCTTGTATAAAAAAAAAAAAAAAAGAAAAAAAAAAAAGAGAGAGAGAGAGAGAAAGAGGCTACGCCAGTGCCGGCACGAATGCATTTACGCGTCTAGACTTAATAAAATAAAAGAAAGGTCTCTCGCGCGCTTATCCGACCGCGCGGGAGGAGGTCGGCCAAGAAGAAGGAAGACGATTTAAAAACGCAGCTAGACTCCGACATAGTCAAGGAAATTCCACCAGGCATCTTCCTTCCTTAGATTACCTAAATCTTTTCTCTTTCCCCTTTACCTCTCTCTTAACCCTTTCATCCATCCCTTTCTTTCATCCCTATTTATCAATTCACCTTCTTCTTCTTCTTCTTCTTCTTCTTCTATCGTCGTCGTCTCGATATGAATTATATAAAAGAAAAAAAGAAAAAAAAAGATAATATAAATGTAGATATTTCGTTGAACCGTTGCGCTAACACAAGGAAAAATATAATAACTTCGAAACGAAATGAATTCGGGCTCGACTGTCGAAGTTAAAACGCGAAGAAAAAAATAATACGAAGTTAAAGAAGGTGCAAGAAGAAGAAGAAGAAGACGAAGAAGTCGAAGTACGCATGAAATATGCACGCGGACCGATTGAAATTACGAGCAACCGGCTTGAATCGAGTATTCGAACTTTAATCTTCATTTTTCTTTTTTTTTTCTTTTTGGTTGAACGATTTCGAAAGAGTTTTTTTCATTATACGACGTTACGAACACCTGCCTGGTTCTTTTCGTTGCAAGGATTTTCAGCTATTTTTTTCTTTTTGTATTCTCTCAGGAGACACGTGTCGTCAACTTTCTTCCTTGTTCTTGTTTTTTCTTTTTCTTTTTTCCCCCCGGAATCTATGCCGAATTATTATCGAATTATTATCATTTAATCATGATTATAAAAAAACAAAGATGTATTAAAAAATATTTTCGTAATTGTTCGATTCTATCGATGACTCGTTAATTGATTTCTATTATATTATGTATTGAAATGAAATTAAAAATCATAAAAATCGGTTTTAATGGATCTAACTCTTCATAGTTTTGCTGCTCCCTTTCTGATATTATTAGAAAATGAAGAGAATGCAAAAGAAAAGAAATGAAAGAGGAAGAAAAGATCGAGAAGGAAGGAAGGAAGGAAACGAGATGATTCCTAAATAGTTTCTCTTTCTTGCTTTTTTCTTATTTCGTTTTAATTTCTTTTTTTGTTGTTTCTTTTTTTTACGTTTTGCCGTTACATTCCATCGAGATATTTTTAAATGACGGGGGCAACGTTTCGAATAGAACGTCGTCGGTCCTCGTAGTCGTCGTTGTCTTCTGTTCTAAACGTCCCGCGGATTCGGTATTGCGCGCGGGCGCTCACGCGGGCTGCCTTCCGATTGGTCGTTTTAACGATCTATCGCGGCGTTTTCTCGTGCACACACGTGCGCGAATAAATATCGCGCGCAATAAAAGTCTGCCGAGTTTTAGTTGGTAATTTAATCGAAAACGATCGAAATAAACGTCGTTGAACTTTCTTCGCTCGAAGAAACACCGACGTTTATTTCATCCTTTTCTTACTTCACACGAAATCTTGCTTATTACATGAGAATGAGAGAGAGAGAGAGAGAGAGAGCTTCTGGCCAATCCGATTTCGATTAAAATGTTCGTTGACTGATCGAAGAAGACAATTAAAATGCAAGGAAATCTTTTTTCGGGTTAGAAAATCAGCAAGGCTTGGTAGAATTAAGACACACTCGATAAAAATAACAAAAATAAAAGTACAATGTGTAAAAAGATAATGAAGAGAAGGAAAAAAAAAGTTAAGGGAGGGGGGAAAAAAAAATAAAAGTAAATTGCACACGATATCCCTTACCAACGCGGCTGATATTTTAGCCTCAATGGAGGCTTACCTGTCGAAGGTTGATGTTAGGTTTCCTCTAAAAGACGAAAAAGCAAACAATTCGTGAATATCAATGCTCTGAGCTCGCAACATCGTAAAGCGTAGCACGTGATGTGTGAACGAAAAATTATTATTCAAGTGATTTGCGTAGGAAACAAATATCTACATAATATCATTTGACAAGATGAATCAATAGTCTACATAAAAAAAATAGAAAAAAAGAAAGATTCTTATTCGTATTCGCACAAGTACAAAAAGGAGAAAGAAGAAATAATAAACGTAGAAAAAGATTCCAACGACTTACTCTTTTCGATGAGCTTGAAGCATCTGCTGATAAGACCCAAACGATTGATTGTCCACCGGCGTTGAATTGGTGTTAGCCATTATGAGTTTGGTTGCTTCAGAATTGTCATTTTGATATTCGGCTGTGTCCTTGTCGTTTTCATTTTCCTTGCAACGGGTTGTATTTTGTATGTAATAAGAAAGAATTTCATCGTCGTAATTCAACGACGATTCGTTGTTTTCTACGTTCGGGTAATCTGCAAGAGTATTCGCCAACGATGGTATCACTCGATAAACATCGTCTTCGACCCATTCCAAACCTTCGTATTCGCTGATACGTTTGACCGAAGATTTCGAAGCACCCGATACCCCGTCGTCGTTGATTTTTTTGCCAGTAGAATCTTCTTGTTTTAATTGTGGATCGTTGGTGACGTTATCATCGACGTTGTCAGCAGAATTTTTCGATAAATTAACATCTTTCAGGTCGACGGAATCGTCCGAATGAGTTTCTCGTACTTCCACGTGATTGATCGTATCGAAACGTTTCGGCTTTTCCGAGGAACTTAATTTTCTTCCGTTGAATTTGTGTAATTGATCATTGATTATACGAGCCTGAGATAACATGGACAAAGAAGTAGAGGAAGAAGGTGATAATGAAGAAGATAAAGAGGAAGGAGGAGAAGGTGGAAGAGGAGGACCGGAGGTAAAATAGGGAAAGGAATTAGCAGTGTTTGTAAATGAATTTTCTTTCGTGTTGGGAAAGTTACGATCACCCGGCAATTTTCGAATTATCTTTGATTTTTCCTCGGAACTGGAAGAATCGAATTCGGAATCGTCGTAACGTATCTTGAATACCACGTGCGGTTCCATTGCCTTGTCAAAACTACGATGAAAATCGTCAGACGGGGAATTGTTACCATCGTCGCTGTTGTCATCGTAATCGTTGTTACCAGGATAGGCCCGAGTCTGTTGAAGATCCAATTCCGCGGGAAGATTTTCGTAATCAAGCACAGCTTGTCGATTGAAAGCATCAAAATCGAAATCCTCGTTGCCGGTCGATTGTTCATCCAATTTTTCCCTTTTTTTCTTATCGAAATGTTTCCCCTTCGATTTAATTTTTTCCAATTTCATCATTTCCTCCCGTTTTTTCTCTTCCTTTTGTTTAGCGAGCTCGTTGGTGCGAATCGCTGAAATCTCACTCCAACTGTAATTCATACTTTTCAACAAATTCAGATCGGCGTTAGTAAGATTACCCATGATTATCTTTATTATTGCTTTTTCCAACATTTTCTCAAGTTTACTTTGTTTAAACGGTACGGAAACTTTGCCTTCTCCGGCTTTCATTATTTCTCTGGCCTTTTCACCGACACCACCCGTTGATTCATTATCCTTATTCGTATAAAAACGATCGGTCATTTGTTCATTGGAATGATCTTTATTATTGCTATTGATATTAGATATATGACGACGAATATGATGATGCGGATTCCCATGGGACCAACCACTTACAACGATATTCATCACCAATAACAAAACGATTATCCACTTCGATATCATCTTTACCAAATATTAACTAAATCTCTTGAATTATTTGCAAAATCTCAAATTAGATAGACGTAGTAGTGTACCTATCTCGTCAACAACTCGGCAATGATTCAAAGAGCATCCTCTCTATTTATAACTTTTTCTCTCTCTCTCTCTCTCTCTCTCTCTCTGATTACTCTTAAATTTAGAAGAGTATTTTTAATCGATCTCGATCGAAAGTGTGCGTAAGTGCATGCGCGTGGTGTAGATGAAAAGCGCGGGCGCACGCGCGCGCGCGTATTTAGAACTTTGTCAGCACCAGGTGAAAGAGTAAAACACTCGTTGTTCTGGTACGCAAACGGTTAGCAAAACTGATGTCGTATGATAGTAGTAGTAGTAGTAGTAGTAGTAGTAGTAGTAGTAGTAGTAGTAGGTCCACAGGTCGACAATTCGAAGTCGCGTTGCTTTTCTATTTATTTTCACTCTTATTTTAGTTCATTCGTCTCGAACTTTAGCAAAAAGTTTCTGTGTCGCGTATGGAAAAGATAAAACAACCGAAAAGAAGGAAAGAAAAAAAAAAGAAAAAAAACAAGGTAGAAAAAAAAAAGAACCAAACCCCAATTAAAAAGGCAAAGAGACTCTCGCGATGTTCCTACGAGTTAGGGAATATTGCCAAAAAGAGTTTCCCCTTTTTTTTTGTCTCTCTCTCTCTCTCTCTCTTCCTTTTGTTCCTCTTCTACCTTCCCTTTTCTTCCTATCCTTTTTCTATTTCCTCTGCAGGATGATCTCTTTCTCTCTTTATGTGCGTCGTGTGCACCGGCCGAGCAGTAGGTCTCGACTGAGACGTCGTGCCGCCTTCCTCACGGACATAATTCTGTCTACTCACTAATTCCGAGACAAGCACGAAGCCACGAGAGAGGAGACGGTGCCGGTGTTACTACGATGACTCCTCCTCTCTCACTCTCTCACTCTTTCTCTCTCTCTCTCTCTCTCTCTCTCTCTCTCTCTTTCTCTCTTCTGCTTCTCTTTCTCCCCTCTCTTTCACCCAAGTTTTTCTCCCTCTTGCGTTCTCGCCTCCACCCGGTGTCTTCTACGTAGAAGAGAGACCCTTTCGAACGTGTGTCGTCTCTTCCTCTTCTCCTTCTTCTCCTTCTTCTTCTGCTTCTTCTTCCTCTTTTTCTTCTTCTTCTTCTTTCACCAAAATCTTTTTCCCACTTCTTTCTTTACCTCTTTCCAATTCTTTTTTTATTTCGTGAAAAGGATCGAACGTAGACGACAGTAAGGTAACTTCGATTTCGAGTTTTTTCGAATCACTTGAAGCCCCTTCTCCTCCACCCTTCTTCTACTCCTTCCATTTATATCATCGAATTTTCTCATTGAAATTCGATATTTTTGCGATCGTGTTCCTCTCTTCTCCTTTCTTTTTTTTTTTTATTTTATTTTATCTTAAACGATTTAAAGATAATTCGAGAGAGAACAGCAAGGGTTGTTATATAAAAGTATTAAGAGGGAACAAAATAGAAAATAGAAGAAAAAGTGTATGCGTGTGTGTGTGTGTTTTTTTTTCGAGAAGCGAAAAGTTGCGTTGGCGTTCGTACAATGATTTCAGGGGCAGCCGACGTACGATTTTATAAGGTGTCTCCCTCTCCGCTTCGTCTAGACGAATCGAAAGATATGATCTTTGAATCATAATGTATCGCTTTTAATAAATGCAGCCTCCGTGTGCGCGCGCGTGAAAATGCCATGCGCGCAAAGCGGCGCGCGCCCGTCCGAGAAACAAAGTGGGTCCTAAAAGAAGAAGAAGAAGAAGAAGAAGTGGGGCGAGAGGATGAAGGAAGGGTGGAGATTCAAATAAATCAACCGATTCCCCCATTAATAACAAAATTCTTTACTAAATTCCAATCTATTTTGGAGAATTAATTAATTTCTCTTATTTATTTCCATAATATCAACTCACCGAGAGTTTTTAATCCTCTCTCTCTCTCTCTCTCTCTCTCTCTTTTTCTCATCATCGTATTAATTTAAATTGATATTATTCTATATCATTGGCACGTGTGTCGTGTTTGTTGTTGTTGTTGTTATTATTGCTGTTCTTTTGAATAGTAATATGTTTTTCTTACGTTTATGCAATCTCGAGTTGAAAATAAATCCTAAATATAGTAACAATTAATTTGCTATTAATATTGTTGTTATGTCTTTTTTGCGTTTTTTGTGTAATCATATTTTTTTTGGTATTTCTCTTTTCAACTGGAAAACCTTGAGAAAGGAATAAATGATCGTAGTAAAGGATTATTTTTCTCTTCTTATCTTTCTCTCGTCTTGATTCGCGATGATACACACTCGATTACCGAGAAACTTCTTGGAAAGTATGTATTACTTCAGACGTCCCTTCTTCTCTCTTGTCCCTCCCCACCCACCCACCTACCCACCATTCCTTTCTCCTTCTTCTTCTTCTTCTTCCTCTTCCTTCTTATTCCCCCAGGTGTCAGTCATAATTTAAACAAGATTCTTCTCGCAGTCGTTGCAAGTTGGAACGAAGAGAGAGAGAGAAAGAGAGAGGAAGAAGAAGAAGAAGACTAAGAGAGAACAACGTACAAACGAACGTAGAAACACAAACGGTAGGAGAAATATATTTTTAGGATACTAGGAGGACGTTAAATTAGCGTGACGGCGTAAAACGTGAAAATTGGGTTACAGAATTCGGTCCTCGAAAAGTGGTCCGCACCGTCTGGTCGGCCACCTAACGGTCGGCTAATACTAGCCTTTCGAAGGTCCGAACGGTTAAAATAAATCCTTCCTCTCGACGTAGATCTCTTTCTCTCTTTTTCTTTGCTTTTTTCTTTTTTATTTATTACTCTTTTTTTTTTTCATTCTTCCTCTTTTTCATTCTCTTTCTTGTCTGGATATACCGGAAGTGCGGCGTACCGCGTCTCGAATCCTTTCCAGACGTTTTTCTTTTCTTCCTAGTCATCATCGTCGTTATTTTCTTCTTCTTCTTCTTTTTCTTCTTTTACTTACACAAACTTCGGCATTCTTCTTTATCTCACATTCGAAGAAGGATCGTCGTCGTATCGATCGGAACGTCGTAGTTCTCTAATACCAGAAGAAGAAGAAGAAGAAGAAGAAGAAGAAGAAGAAGAAACGAATTATTCGCCGAGCATGTCAGGGTCGAATTCGTGAGGTGGTAAACAAGTCGATCAGGAACGAGACGACGACGAAGACGAAGACGACGACGACGTGTTTCACCACCCTTGTGTCACGTCCAGTTAGTCAAAGTTATCGGTAGCCATCTGACATAGGCGTAGTAGACAAATACATATATTATATCTATCCAAATGAATATTACGTAATTTCTCATTGCGTAATCTGGCAAGAAAGAAAAAAAATGTATATTAACTTTCCAAACAGGAACATGGGAATTCCATGAAGTTCAAAAGTATTCTTTTTTTTTTCTTCTTTTTTACATACGAACGAAAGAAAGAGTAGAGAGGTACATAATAATGGGTCTACGTTCATCGGTTCTTCCTTCCATGGTAGAAGAAGGACGTAGGAACCGTCGTGAGGGTTCTTCTCTCACGAGGAAAGGCGGCGCCAATGGGCACGTGTGTGCTCCGAAGTGCATCCAGTTGCGTTGGATGCGTCGCACGCGCAACACGGAGGATGCGTATGCTTCAGATGAGAGAAACAGCGAGAGAAAGGGAGAGAAGAAGGGAAGGGAGAGAGAAAAGAACGTGAGGAGGTTGGGAGTAGTAAAGAAAGGGACAAAGAAAGGAAAAAGGAAGGAAGGGATAAAGAGACGGAAGGAGAAGGAGGAACGAAAAAGAAAGAAAGAGAGAAAGAGAGAAAGAAAGAAAGAAAGAGAGAGTGCGCTCTTCTAAGAGTGAGAGCGAGCGAGCGAGCGGTAGAAGAAGAAAAAAGGGGAGGGCAGAGGGGGAGGGAATGCAATTTGATCCGAAGCGAGTCCGCCGAATGTCCGCGCGCGGTGCAACGGCTGCTGACGTCAGCACCGAATCCTCCGTCGCGCGAGTCGGACGTACGGACAGACAATCTGGCGTCTAGACGTACCAAAATAAATAACGCACGGGGCCCGTCTCGGCTCGGCTCGGCTCGGCATCAAATTGTTGTTTGCACTCGTAACAGTCATCGTTCGTCGTCCTTGCCGGGGAGCCCTCTCTCGATGGGGACCTCCACGAAGGTCCTCCTCCACTCACGGAGATCCTCCTCCCCTCCTTTTTCATTTTTCTTTTCCTTTTTTTTTCCTTTCTTTTTCACATTTTATTTTATTTTATTTATTCTCCCACTCGTAACACCCAGTGCTCTGCTGCCCCCTCCCTCTTTCTCTCTTTTTTTTTTGTTTCTTTTTATGTATCGCAGGTGAGATAAACGCCATGTGCCGTAGCAAAATGATTATCCGATGTCAGATGGAGAGAACAAAATTTCCTAAACTCCTAAAAAATAGCTCCTCTTCTCAAAACACCGCCCACGCGTCACCCATCCTGTCAAACCTTTCCAATCGGAATTGTAAACGAAGAATATAAAAAAGAAAAAAGGGATTGGGACAGAGAGAGAGAGATGGAGAATTCGAAAAAAAAAATAGAAAAAAAGAAACGAAACGATACCACGGCGGGGGTAAGAAGGACGAAAAAGACGAGAGGAAAAAAGAAAACGAATGGAAATGGGTGCAATTTGCATTGGAGTCGTCCACCCTCCTACGTTTGTTCGATGCAGACGACAATCGCGATAAGGCCTCCTTGGAATCCGGCAGGAGCCTCTCTCTCTCTCTCTCTTTTTCTATTTCTTTCTTTTTCTCACCAGAGTCCAGGCCGATCCAGGCTTCTTGGAATTGGGATTTGAATTTCGAACAGATTGCGCAATAGAAATCGCGCACCCACGCATAGATCCGATCGTTTCTTTCTTTTTTTTTTTTCGTTTTTTTTCTCTTCTTTCTTTCTTTTCTTTTATTTATTCGGCTCTTTATTTTTCTCTGTGTGTTTTTTGTCTTATAGTTTCTTATCTCCTCTCTCTCTTTCTAAAACCGATCGACGTGCCTTCCTTCCTTTTCGACGCGCGATACGCGATCTCTTTTTTTGTTTTTTTATATCATTCTTTCGGCCCACCCTTCCCTATTTTTTTATAGTTCTTCTTTTACATCTTTTACAGTCCTCCTCGACCTCGTCGGAGTTATTTTTTTTTTTGTCTTTCCTCATCGATACCTAGTTTAGATTCGATCCATTTCTAAAGTTTTAATTTGCATCGATTTTCGATCGATTTTGATAGTAGGAACTACTTTTTTTATTATTCGACATCAACACGGGGCTAAATCTTCTTACGATTTTTCATTTTATTCTTTTTCGCGTTCCGTCATTTTATTATTATAATTTCGTATTCTCGTATATATGTGTGTGTGTGTGTAGCTGCGTGCGAGTAAAAAAAAAACACAGAAGAAACAAAAAGAGGATCGTCCCTTCACCATTTTTCGTGGAAGGAACGAGGAAATTTATGAAAAAAAAAAAATGATTTATGAAATTATGTGAACCTTCGACGTCAACCGGTTCGATCAAGCTGCTTAATCAAGGGGTCCTACTGTATACTAAATAATATATTATACATATTAGCCAGTTAACTGTGATGGACGATTATACTCGTCACGAAAAACTGGTAATATTTTATGTTATCGCTTTATTTTTAAGACAAAGTGAAGGTACAAGCATTTCCAAAAGTTCACGACAGCTAACTGTGGCGATAATTATGACAATGGCATAAGTAAAAAATAATTGGACGCATACATTTGATGATTTATTTAATAATATCAATAATTTGAATATAAAATAAATCAGTTAACAGCTTAACTTGGTTGAATTACTAATTGCTGTCAGATCATTTAAGTCAAACTACGTGGATACGATTAGTAAAAAAAATGGACGACCCTTTCGGAAAGACAAAAAATATTGGATAGAAGAAGATAGAGAAGTGAACTCGAATCCGTAAAAAGGGAGGGTACAAAAACAAAACGAATATAAAATAAATCATAAAATAATTTGTATATATAACAATTTTTGTTGACTAATTATTATTAGACCACTGTCATAATTATCGACACGACAAAAAAGAAAAAAGAAAAGAAAATTCGCATAGATAAAACTTAGAAAATGGTGGAGATGGTTCGTGGATTTGAAAAGGGTGGATCAGAGATAGTTTCGAAGGGAGATGGAAAGGGATTGGAATCCGATCGGAGTGTCTGAAAGTGGTGTCGCGTGCTACGACGTATGTATTATAAAATAGAGTGACGCTCGTGTTCGACATTCCAACGTAACGAGAGCAAAAAGAAATGAGAGATGAAGAGGAAGGAGCCACATTGTAGCCACGCACACCAATGCTTACGTTTATCTATGGTTTCTTCCTATTATACTTATATCGTTTTTAATGAAAATTCATCTTGATTCTATTTGAAAATAACGTACGAATAATCTTTGCGAATAAATCAATTTTTTTCAATTTTCTTTGAAAAATAAACATTGTTTGTTATTCAACAATTAAATCGAGACTTCGAATAAAATTTTATGAAACATTTATAAGGT